TTCAGGAAGGCACATGTGGGTGTGGGCTCTCCTTCATGCGTTCAGCAAGCATTTCTGTGAGAACGTCTATGCCAAGCTCTGTTTTAGGCACTGGAAATACAAAAGACAAAGAAGATTCAGACACTCGAAGGTCTGCTTTTCGTTGGAGAAACCTGCACAGAAACAGAAACTTATAAATCCGTGTAGTACCTGTCGTGGTAAGAGAGACGCACGGGGAAATACAAGAGTGAGACGGGGCATGATCAGGAAATTCCTGGAAGAGGTAGGGAAAATACGCTGGAGGTCAGGGACTTGATTTTGGAATCAGAATGAATCAACCTGAAAATGCTTTTGGTCACAAATAGTAGAAGACCTAACTCGAACTGACTTGAAAATAAAGTTAATTTATTTTCTCATATAACCAAAAGTCCAAAGGAAAGGTGGTTTGATATACAGGTTCACCATGTCTTCAGGACTGGGGTTCCATTTCTCTGACATTCTTTCAACTATTCTGTCCTTCATTGGGCAGCTTCTTTCTTAGGCTGGCTTCCCTCGTGGAAATAAAATGGCTGCAGCAGATCCAGACCTAACATCCACACACCCCATGGTCCAGATGACCCAGCATTCCAAGCAAAGCGTCTGAGATTCACTCTATTAGTCTAAGTCACATGACTGCTCCTAGTCCAGTCACTGTGGTCACCATGGAACTCGCTGATCATCTTTGCCTAGGTCACAACTCTACCCCTGGAGCTAACAGTAGTGTCAGATGTTTGGAATGGAGAAACGGATGCAGCCAACATACGTCTGCTATACATGGGAAGCAGAGTGCCTAGCTGAGCTTGCTGAAACATTCACCAACACACTCTGGCATTGGTTACAGCTGCAAAAAGCTCCTGAGTCTTCAGTGAGAAGTATCGTGACCAACTATGAACAGAAGAGGATCCCAGCTTTTGAAAACGAAGAGGCAAAAACCTATCCTTAAAGAAAAGAAGTCATGTTGGCCCTCATCATACCTTGGCTTCCTGGAATACATTAAACCAGAGCCTCACTTGGCTTGGTCAAACACCCCATCTTGTTGAGAAGGGGGGTGATAGTGTATCACTCAGGATAGTTTGTGTTATGCTGCAATAACAAACAATCCCAAAAATCTCATGGGCTTAATACAAGTCCACTGTGAGTCCTTGTGAGTCTCCTGGGCAGTGGTCCTCCAGGCACTGCCTCAGGGATCCAGGCAGAAGAAGTCTCCACCATCCGTAACTACATTCCTGGGACATACAGCCTCCTAAATCCGAACAGCAAGGGAGAGTCAAACACTGGAAGAGAAATGCCTCCACCTGGAAGTGCCGCCCAGCACTTTTGCTCACATTTCCTTGGCTAGAACAAGTCATGTGGCCATCCCTGACATCAAGGGACAGGAAAGTGCAGTCTGTGCCTAGAAGTGCAGAACTGGATGCTGGCAAATGGTGAGAGCCTGCTACAGTGGAATTCCTGGACTTCGCAAGCAAGAGCAGAGAGCTGTGCCAGGTGCCACACCTGCCTCCTTCCCTTCAACCAGTCTTCTGTGATTCCGGCTGCCACACGCAGGGGCTTGTTTCCAGAGGGGGAGGAGACTGGCGATGGAAAGATTAGCCGCTCCCTGGGTTCCACGCGGGGATCAGTATTTTCAATAGTACTTTGTGAGTTCAGCCTCAAAGTAAATGGTTAATTCATCTTGTATCAACAGCACTGTGATTCATAATGTAAACTTGGAGAATCCTTGATGTTTCGGGCCCACATTCCTTTTAATTTGGCTCTGCATTCTTTTAAAGCCACAGTGTGCTCTCTTAATAGAATGCAGCATGCAAATGCACAAGTTTTTGCCTGGAGGCAATTTAGCCTGGCTGTTTCAATGGATATCTTCTTTCAAGTGTATATTCTTTCTTAAATTATTTACTGGGTAAACACACTTTGCATTTTCAAAAGGGAGATTAAGACTGCTTGCTGCAAACCTAGTTGAACATAAAGCTTCCCTAGCCCAAAGTTAGAAGGAAGTTACTCTGGGCTTTCCCCAAAGTTCCTTCTCTAGCTCACTAGCTGGGAATCCCTCTTCCTGGCTCATTTTTTCTGATTCTCTCCGAACTCTGCATTCCTTTCTGCTTTGTCTACAGCAATACCTGCCTGCTGCTCCTGGCTCTGAGTGTTCTCTGGGCTGCCTCACCGGTGCCAGCCTTTGTTTCCCCTCCAGGCTGGCTCTGTCCTCTCCACCACAGGGCCCCAACAGTTCCCTTTTCTGGTCCTTAGAGGGGCCATACCTGCCCAAACCTTTGAAGTCCAAAGCTGGGTTGGTAGCCCTGTCGGAGTCAAGCTTTCTTCCAGCTCTGTTCCAATTCTTTTTTTCCCCCTCTATACCCTTCATCCCAAATATCTGCCACCCTTTGGTTTGAAAACAAATGCTGTCTCCGGCTGACCTCCTCCATCACCAGCACACGCTGCAGTTCCAAGAGGGCCATTCTTCTCCTGGCTTGGGGGGGAAGACACAGGAGTGCTCTGAGAAGGCTCGATGGTGTGAAGTTACATCCTTGGGGGTTTACTTCAACTTTTACCTTCAGCCTTTTCTACACAGACTCCCTGAGATTTTCCTGCAAATTAAATTTGCGCAGATTTCTTCTCCATTCTCAATTAAATGGAGTGATTATAATTACGGAAGGCTGCGTTCTTTCATTATCATTCTTTGGACAGTTCTCTTTCGAGTGTGAGAGCAAACATGCTGTTTCCTGGGGCTGTGGAGCTGACTGGATGCACCAAGGAGGGAGTGGACAATTCCATCTTTCTGACCAGCCGTGACCCAACGGTGGGGTCACCCATCTTGGGGTTGGGTGTATGTTGAGTGCATTAAAGATACGAGCTGTTAGAAAAGATCATGAGTGAAGCACACTCCTCTTTGCCTTGAGATGAGGGAAAGCCCAATTAGGAAGCCCAGGGAAGGGCTGAGGATTTTGGGATTCCTGTGTATTCATTTTTCTAACTATGCCTCAGATTAAACAAGTAACACCCACAGTTAATCCTTTATAAATTAGCATCATGGATGCCTTGGGGCCCTCAGCCCACAAATAAAATGGTTGTCAACCAAGAGACACACTACCGTATATTACTTAAGGCAGAATTTTAAAGACTTTTCATGCTTTTAATCTGTTTCACTGCTGAGTTTCAATTTTGCTGATTTCCTTTGCAAGCTTGATGTGGGTGACTGTGGTAAATAGAGATTTTGACAGTGACACGGGCGAACGCGATGTGTAGGGACTGTTCTGAAGACTTCTGCCCCTTCTAGAGAAAAGGGGGAAAAAAATCAATTTGGGTTTTGAACAGAGCCACCAAGTAGCAGCGATCAGTGTTCATAATTAGCCTCACTTTAACAAGCTGTGAAGTCCCGTTTTTATTTATTTATTTTGAGGACAGAGAATCTTCTTGCCTCTTGAGTAAATATGGCCTGTTAAGTCTGAATTAGCTGTCATCACATAAGAATTAATGTCAGGGCGCAGCCTTTCTAGTGGGGAAGGGAGAAAATAAACGAGACAGATCTTAGCTGAGCCTTCCGTGATAAATGAGGACCGAGCAGATCATTCATCTCCTTCGAGGAAAGTGGACACAGGCACTAAAGCAGTTTTGCGGAAGACGTGTCAGCAAATGTGATCATTTTGTAACCTGTCAGGAGGAGAGAGAGCTAGTCCTTCCAGGGGGCCACGAGGGAGTGGGCTTGTCTGATGCCACTGTCTCCATCCATCCATTTAGGTTTGGGGAAGAAGGGGTGGGCAAGGAGGAATCTGACTAAAACCACAAGGATGTCATCATCCTTCCAAGAAAGAAACTCATCCGGAAGCTAGAAAAGGCTGTGAACATCCTGCCAAGATTCCTTCCAGAAGATTCGAAGTAGGAGGGTGGGGTCCCTCTTAAATTCGGGCCTGGCTAGTCCCACCTGACTCCTCCCCTTGGTAGCCGCCTGTTCCGTATTCTGTGTCAGGCTAAGGCAGAGACCTTTCTCTGCTTGATATTCGGAGGACAGGAGGGTGGATTTGCTGAGGGGGCTTAGCCAGATGGACAGCCTGCTAGACTGCCAGCCACTCTGTCTCTGTTTCTGTGTGGGTGGTTCTGGGAGAGAAGCATGTGCAAGGCTGTTTGACCTAGGTTCCCTTTGAAACTCTCCACAAAGCATTCTGATGTTTGACCTCTTTTTCCCAGAACGAGGTAACAAATTACGAAACAAGTTCATCAGAAGCTCTCTGCAGGCATCTGGGCGCATGTGTCTCCACTCTGGTTCTCCTTCTGAGCTCCCAGTTCCCCATCAGCATTTGGCAGAGCCAGAACTGAGGGGGATGGAATCCCTAGAGGTGAGGGCCCACCAACCGAAGCAAAGGAGACACTCGGGTACTTTGTAGTATTTCTCATTTCCATCTTGCTTTGCTGTGGAGCAAATGTAACGTTTCCTCCCGGCATAACGCAGCCTGAGCCCCAGTGACAGATGATGGTTTCACAGCCTGAGCTACAGGTTTGACACTTGCTTCTTAATCCTGTCCTTTTCTTCCTAAGTCTCTCTTTTCCTTTTCCCCAGGTATTTTTGTACAGGTAAGTACCTTACTGACATATGTTTCCTTGGAGTCTTTTACTTTAACAGGAAACAGTGCAAAAAAATGAAGCTTGTCTCACATTTTAAATTAAAAAAGAGAAACTCGCATGGGGCCCTTGATCACTTAAAGATTACTACCTGGTACTCCGAGCCTGGAAAGCCATTTGATTCACTGTAGCTTTGCAGTAAGCATTTCTCCGGGTGCAGTGTGACAGTCGCTGTGGAGTCAGTCATTTCCTGGTGGACCATTCGTAGAACTAAAATACTACGTGGTCTCACACACACACCCCCACACCCCACTCCAGGCTCCCCACTCCCACCTGCGAAGCCATCGTTTGGTTAGTCAACTTAGTCTTGGATGATCTTTAGAACGTCCTCCTTTTATCTGTGTGAATTTTTTTTTTCCTTTGCTCTCTCCTAGAATCATCCAGAACCGCATCCTGGTCGTCATCCTAGCCATCATCCTGGTCATCACCATCCTGACAGCGATCACTTTTTCTGTCAGAAAACGCTGATGTGTCTGCTCTTCCTCGATAAACAGCAACCAGCAACAACGGCTTGTTCTGAGTAATTAAGACAAAATGGTCACATGAATCATTCTTTCGCGCTGACAGGCCCTGAATGACCCTCCCTCTCTCTCACCACTGTTCAGCTGAAGTGCAAAGAGTGTAAAAATATTTTCTATTCCTGTGTGCATGTGGGTGGGTTTCTTTTTCTAGGTTTGTCTTCACCCAGATTTGTTTTTATAGGGGAAGGTGATGTTTATTTGCCATTTGGTAACTTCATCTCCCAACCAAAACAGCCTTGGTGACAGTCTTCCTTGCCCTGTGGACATGTCAGGGGTCCTAGTCTGGGAGAGGGCATGATGAGTCAGTGATGGGGCTTCTGATGGGCTGTGCTGTTTGTCATACACCTCCTGTCACCGACTTGCCCTTCTGTGATGTCCGAGGATAAAAATGCAGAGAAAAGCAGAGGCCAGAGCCAGTGACCAGCTCCAGGAGACCAGCCCTGTTTCTCCCCAGGCGTAATGCATAGAGGCAATGTGTCTCAGTGCTTTCATTGTAAAGGTGGATATGTCATGTCAGTTGTGCAGGAGATTGACTTAGGATGTTCCCTGTTTTTTCTATGCATAATTATTTTTTGGCCAAGAATATTTTTTGCTGAGGCTGCCCAATAACCTCTTTTCACAACTTTGATTACTGGCTACAAGAACTATTCCCTTACATTCCAAAAATCCCATACTGCCCAGAATTTGCTGGCAAAGTGCGCCCTGACACGGTATTTAATTGTGACCTCCTCTCCCCTGACCTGTGTAAGCATCTCTGTATCCTTTCGGTCTTAATATTTGCACTCCCAAAAGCAGCCCTCCTACATGCAAAAGGTCTGACAAGGTTCTCTCCACATCCATTCGAGTATGTAAAGAGAACATGAATATTTCAGGAAGAGCAAGAACATGACGCTGTCAGTGTGAAATTTCAAATGTGATTATAAATATGGTAGAGTCCTGTAAGATGATCCACTAGAAATAAACTGTATGGAGAAGATTCACTAATCTCCTGTAAAAGAATAAGGGATTGCAGCGCGTTACAAAAGGACAGCTTGGGTTTTTTACTAACAAATGTCAGCAAAGCCTTCTTGACTTCACTATGTATTCAAACCTTTACCATGCTTTGTGATTTTCTTTGGTTTCTTTCTGTCCAAAGTAACTGGGAATTGCGTTCAAAATGAGTTCATTTATGATCAGGCTTAAAATTGCCCAAGCTGAGGTCATTTTCCCCCTAGTCATAAAGCAAAATGTTTTTTCTTAAGACTTCGTAGGCACTTACAGGGTCCATACTGTCTTTTGAATATAATTGGAAGCTTTGAATCCTTGAAAAGCAAACCTGTTCTCTTCATAAAAAATGCTAACCACCTGTGCCCATGGATTGAGATCACCTGGCTGCAACAGTTCTTCCTCCCCCCCCCCCCCCAACTCGGAAGAGAACCATTATGGTTTAGAGAGGAAATGCAGAATGGCGAAATCCACCAGAGAAATCGTACTTATCGAAACAGGCCAGGGCCTGCATGTGTTCAGATAAATCATTTAGTATTGTGTAAATAAAGCTGCAGCCCTTACTTCGCAGGGACGGTGTGGGATTTTGGCAGAGTGAAGTAGGACAGCGAAGGAGTGGGAAGGCTGTGCTGTTTTTCCTACTGGCTTAAGGGATCTATCTCAGCAAGAATCTTTTATTCTGATAACGGAATTCTGTATGTGCTAAGCACATCGAAGAAAACATTAAAAAGCAAGGAAACAAACAAATAATCTTCTCCTCCTGAAACAGTAATGGTGGGCAGGTATTATACCATCCTCTCCGGTGGCTTCCTTTGAAACTGCTGAGCTTAGCTAAAGAATATAACCAGTTATGCAGCTGCACCTCACACCTCCGGACTCTTCCCGAGGCCACCTGGCAAAGCAGGTTGATCTGATCATCTAAACTTGCTGGCTCCTAAATATTTCATTAAAACCTCGTGTTCTTGTTGAAGTGGATGAAATGAGGAGGGAGTGCATCCTTCACGTCTCAGTGGCTTTTTCTTTGGGGTTCCATCTCTTTCTCAGTGGTTGCCTGAGACTGTGCCGCAGTTCAGCCTTGGAAGTGGAAAGAATAGGAACTGATAACTGTTGGCCTGACAGCCCCATCAGACCCACCTCAAGAGAGACCCCCTGGCCTGGAGTGCTTTGTAGGAAGCTGGTCCGAAGGCCCCTGAACTCCTACCTAGTCGTCCCAGATGCTGCAGGACAGACTCAAAGGAGCCCCCGTGGAAGCAAATTGTTCTCCCTTCTTCCCTGCCCCACCGGGGAAGGCAGAAAGCCTACAAACTCGAAGCGGGTCATAGATCTGCGAAAGGTTCTAGCAACTTCATATGTAGACTTCAATTGATGAATATTTCTAAAGTCGGAAGGCTTTGTTAAAAAGGATGTTTGACGGGAAGGGGGGGTGCGGTGAAGATGAAGATGCAGAAGAGGAAGAGGAAGCCTTGCCATATAAAATTCATGCAGACTAAACAGTTGCCCTGACAGGATAAATAAAGCGAATGCTCCCCTTCTCCAGAATCAAAAGCAATTTAATTAAAGTCTCTTAAGTTGTAAAGAGTTTTAAATGTTCCACGGTGAAGACAAATTCCTGCAAAGGCAGCAGGCTTGACGTCAGCTGCCAGGCCTGGGCTGGGAGGCCATTTGCTATTCTGTTTAAGGCAGGCTGGATTGTCTTATTTTGGAACCAGCTTGGTGGGGGGTTTGCTTTGCTACTGCTTCTGAGCCCTGAGCTTCAAAGGCAGAAATTAATGGTGAACAAAATTGTGCGGCTCTGGCCGTCCCATGCGGGGCAAGCCCATTGAGGGTTATCATTAAGTAAAGAAATAAAGAGGGGGAAAAAGCCTGCCTGTTCCAGAAAGCTCATCAGATAATGACCTCAGTGATTGGGTTTTCATTACCAAGCAGCATCCAGAGATTATCTACCCCCTAGAAGATGGGAGAGGGAAGAAAAGAAAGAAAGAAAAGCAACTCTCTTTCTCTCCCTCTCTTTCTCCTTTTTTTTTTTTTTTTTGCACATCTTTTCTTTAAAACTGTCAGATCATTTCAGTATTTCAAATCCGAGGAAAACAGCCTGCCTGCTGCTGTATTTGAAGTTGTAATGGTGTCAAAAAGTCACGACTGACTGACAGCCGTCAGTCCCAGAGGGGCTCATTAAATCATAAAAACTTGACAAGGAAATAATTGCGCATCGCTAGCAACTTGGCGCCTGTTTAGACGTTTTTATTTTCTTTCATTATTAGTCCCCACCATTACGTTCATTAACAAATTGCATTAAACAACTGTTAAGGGCTAATGATTTGTTTATCGCTTTTTTTATTATTATTATTTAAACATTAGCTGTGTCATGTGGTACCCCAGCAGCCTCTTGCCATCATCTGACTGAATATTTTTCCACTCCGAGCTCTGGGTACTGTTGGAATATGAAATAGATTATTCATTACTCTCCTCTTTGCCACTGATTTGGTTTCATGTAGCGTCTTCCACAGAGAAAGATGAAAACTTGTCAAAAATAGGTTATATCTTATTCGAAGGGGCAACAATAGCAGCAGGTACAGGCACATTTAATATTTAATTAAGGTGGATGTTAACCCCTTTAAATGACTTTAGCTGTAAGTTCTAGTCAGATGCAGAGGAGAAAAATAATTGTTCTTAATTTGCGACCTATTCAGCAGGCATCCTTCATGGAGTTAGGTGGAAATTTAGAGCAGAATTTTTAAATAATGAAATGTCCCGTCATAAATATTTATGGCCGTTTGTCTACGTAGTTGAGAATTAACTACGAGCAATGATTTCCTCATCGCTTTGGTTTGAACTGCTAGCCTACTGGGGCACCCGGTGCTTGGGCTGGAGATGGCTTTCCTGGGAGAAATGTGTATGCAGAGCCGAGGACGCTTGGTCGGTTGTGGCTGAGGCTGCTTTCAGAGGAACCACTGTGAGTCCCCGTCTCTGGTGCACTTGCTCCCCTTTAGCTGAGTGTGTGGTTGGAGGACTGTGGTTGGCGTGAGAGCGGGTAGGAACTTCTTAAAGAAACACTGTGTGTCTGCTCGGCCCGTGCAGGGAGGGTGTGATGGGGAGATGTCTGGGGCGTCTCTGTGTAGTCAATGAGCTCATTGCAAACAGTGCTTCCCTAATAGACAACAGGAGCAACGCTTTGCTGGGATTGACCTTCTGCCTTTTTTCCTTTCTGTGACTTGCCATTGGTGAAATGATCAGTTTTTCCATGGGCTATGAGCTTGATGGAAAAAGCTCCATCATCATCATCATCATCCCAAGTCAGAAGTCAATGGCATTCTCTATTCTGTAATTGCTCTCTACATCTGGTCACCCTGTTTGATTCAATTTCATGTAACCATGGAAGCCACTCTCAGAGGCCTGGTTCATTGGTACTTCAAGGCTGGGGTGTTCTGGTCAATATTAGGAGACAGGGAGTATCTTTCTCCCAGCCTGTTTCTACTCCCACCCACTCATCCCCAGAAAGACCAGTCTCCTTGAGCAGCTATGCCATGGATGTGAAGGGGAGAGATGGTACTTGTTCCTCACTTAGCACAGCATCTCTCAGCATTACCCACCTAAGGACAGATGGTCCTACAGGAGCCATCACACAGGAGAGGCCAATCCAGCAGGCGTGAGCCAGGTGAGGCCTGGCCTCAAGCCTCATCCATCACTGTGGGTGTAGAAGCGGCAGACACACCAGGGTCTAGGGCGTCTCAAACCTCCATTTCAGTCCACTCCAAATTAGCCATGGGACAACTTGCCACCTTTGGGATGGCCTCCACACCTCAACAGAAGGTATGCTCAGAGTCATTTTTCCAGAAGGAAGGAGGGCTCTGTGGGAGGCCATCCCCAGTCCAACTCCCAGAGACATTGGTTGAGGCTACTGCCTGAGAAGAGACACCAGTCTTCAACTTGAGCCCTCCCTATGGTGTAGCTCACTAAACTCAAACTAAACCCCAGGAAACATTCTTGTTTATGTGGCTTTGCTCTGCCTGCAGCCCACTGGGCTCAAACCAGTAGTACCTGTCAGAGGCCATTCACATTGTGTGACTAGTCAGGTGGCTCTTAGACAAGATGTCAGCATTTTTTAAATAGAGCAAGTGACTGTGTGGACAGCTCAGAAAAGTTCTTGAAGCCATAGGCACTGCACCCAAGAGGGAAGACATTGAAGGGTAACCAAGAACAGCCAGGCACGGGCAGAATTGTGTGTGTGATTGGAGCCAAGGCTGGATACAGGGTCCTGAAATGGGTAATTGAGCCAGGGTCAGTGCCCTCTCCTGTTGTGGAGGAGGGAAGACACAGGGAGTGCTAAGAGAGACTGCCCATCTCTGTTAGGATTCCAGGTCAATAACAAAGTGAATGTTCCAGAGCCAGCTTACTAGAGGCAAATAGGGTGAAAACAAAATGGCAGGGCAAACCAAGATGGTGGGGCAAAACCAAGATGGCAGGACAAATGGGTTGGGAATGTATGAGGAGATGAGGAACAGGTGGTGTGCAGGTTAAGGATGGATTCCCCAGCACCAGGGGTTAGGAGATGGTAAATGGGGTTCATCCCAGGGAATACTAAGAGGGAGGGGCACAGGCAAGTAGCCCCACTTTGTGCCACCCTGGGCCCATCATTGCCTTCTTCAGGAGAAGCCAAAGGAGGGGAAAGACAGGGTGCATCTCTCCCAGGACCCCGGCCCAATCACGTACAACCCCCACTGCCATGCCTTGCAGGGCTCTCAGCATGCTGTGGGGAAAGCACTTCCTTATCCTGAATCACCTCGTTACTCGCACTACATAAGTAACGAAGGCATCACAGAAAGAGGGGATAATGCCGGGATGCAGAGCTCTGGACTGTGATTCTGTGAACTCCTGCACCCCCTCCTTCCCTTCATCCAAACAAGGCCCTTTGGCGTGAATAATAGCTCAGCGGCCCCGAAGCCCGTATTGATCGGCTGCACACGTGGCTCCGCTGAGAACTGCCTGGACTTTTCCTGGGGGCAGGATGGGCACTGCTCAGTGCAGCCCGCCTCCCCCCCCCCACCAGCCTCCCCCAGGTGTGCTCAGGAGGGGACAGTACGGGGGGAGCTAAGGCCCTTCTCCAGCTCAGTGCTTTGTTGCCTCAACTTTTTGTTTTTAACTTATCTTGCCAGGAAAAGGACCTGCGTTGGAGAGAAATGTTTTTTGCATGATGATGCCCCACAGAGTTGAGAATGAATATATCCTTGGGCTCCAGCTTTCTCCAAAAGGTTCTGCCACAGACCCAGGCCACAGAGGCATCCTCAGCTGACACTTACAGAGGCCTGCTGTATGCCAGGCATTGGGCTGAGCACTTTGGCATGCTGTACTGCATTTTCCTGTTAACTTTCTGTCTTACACCATCAGAAGGGAGAGGAGGTGAGAACGTGGCTAGAAGCCATCACTCCCTTGGGGGATGGGAGCGGTTGCTAAATTCAGTGGAGAAGCGTCAGCCATAGGCTGGTGAACACACAGGGACTGAAGCCTGCCAGCCCTCTGCCCTGAGGCTCTGAACACACCATCCCCTTCCCTTGGTCCCTTCTCTTCTGGATACGGAAAGTGGCCAAGGCCTTAATCCTCTGAGGGATGTACAATTGGAAGGTCAGCCAGGCTCCTACACGGGTGACACCCTCCAGGCTGGGAGATAACCTGAAATCCCAAGTTTGAAGATTCACTCCTTTGGTTTCTCACCTTGAACCCTGTGAAAATGCAGATCCATTTTCCCCTAGGCAGCTTCAGCCCCATCAGCCACTGATCCCTCTGGGTGAACTGAATTCCTGGGGGAGATTTTGGTTTTGGGGGAGGAGAGACCCACTCCTCAAGGCAACCAGTGGTGGTCTTTGGGAGAAGGGATGCAAGGGAAAGGGGCCTGGGTTCCCTGCGACCAGCTCCCTGGAGCTTTCTCCTGGGGTCAGCTGCCCTTTGGGTAATGGATGGGTTACTGGGGACACAGCCTTGCCCTAGGAGCCCACACATATCCTGGCCAGGGTGCAGGGCTGCTCAGGCTGTTTAAACGTGAGGGGTCTGAGAACACATGGGCTCTGCCAAGGAGAGGCAACTGGTCAAGGGTCCTCTGGCACATCCCACAGCAGTGCCATTGCTGAGGAGGAGCAGGGAGAGCAGGAAGGCGAGGGTGGCGTTGGAAGAGTTAACCGTGGGGTCCAGCAGCTAGCTTCCCTCCGTGAGCTGTGCCAGCCTCGTCTTGTCCTGGCCCTGCTGAGAGCGAGAGGAGGCCGAGACCACTGCAGCACACCGTGTGGCATTTGGGGAAGGGCCCCAAATAGATCATTTATGCCCTCAGCAGACCCTCCCCACACCGCCCCATCCGGGGGTCTCGGCACAGCGGAGACATCGTGACCATCAGCGCCTGGCTCTTCTTAACTACCATCTTCTCTTCTTCATCCAAGCCCACCCCTCTTGAGAAATTACAGAGCGAGGAGAGCCAGATGGCTTCCACGAGCTCAGTATTGTCCCCAAGACTTCTAAATCATCAAACCTTGCCCTGTTAGAAGCATGAGAGGTGTAATCAGATTTATTCATCTAGTCAGTAAATATTTATCGAGTATCTACTCAGTTCCAGGCCCCAAAGACACATGGTGAATGAGATAGATAAGACAACGAGTAAGACAGTCCCCCAGCCCCAGGGCTGGAGGTCAGAAAGCTGTTTTCATTCCCAGTGTCCTGACTTGCTGTCTGATCTCAGGCAAGTCCCCCTGAGGTCTAGAAATCACATGGTGATGCCCCTGCCTCTGCCGGCATCCACCGCTGGCCCTGAGAAGAATGCCCCATCTCCGTGAACTGCTTGGCCAGGCCCTACCAAACGCAGTGCTGTGTGTTCTTTCCTCCCTGCACTTTCCATGGCCACATTTGCAAAATTGCCCCATGAGTGCATGACTAGGGTTGATGCATGCAAGTAAGTGAGTCCCCATCAGCACCAGCCCCTTGTCCAGGACCAGCCCAGGAGAGGCAGGGGACAGGAATGGGGACATTTAGACTGGGACTGACTTGGAGGATTTTTTTTTTCTTTGCTACTTATTAAATGATAAAGGTTTGACTTAGCAGGCAATCGGAAACCCAAAATATCATAAAAGGGAAAAACGCTGCCGAATAGCTAAGAGGTGCACCACGGGAGTGTCGCTGGGCTCGGCAGCAAGTGAATTGCTGAGCGAATGGAGCGGGAGACGTTTTTCAAAGGCTTCTCGCTCCTTCTTCTCCTCTCTCTGTCCCCCGTGTGGAAAGGAGAAAATAGAAGCAGAATCCAGATTGGGGCACGTGGGTGATTTGGTCACCACCCCT